TTTGACACCGCTGAGTTGCTTCGCATCGCTTAGAGCTCCCCTTTACCAATCGGCTTTAGGCATATGAGCCTACGATTGAACCTTCGTGCACATGATATGCTGTATTTAGCTAATCGGCATTTAGTTGTTGATTTTCGAACTCATCGCTTTTTCCATTAGAATGCATTATTAACTAAGTACTACTTAGTATTTGTTGCTGTTATTTATAGGCACAAAACGGCGCGATTCTTTTGGCCTCCCAAACTGCGAAGACATTTACTATTCAAATAAAAAAATAAAATCCCTGCTTGAGACTTATTTAATATGATTATTATCTAGAGCCATCCTAATTGCCGCAAATAAAACAGTTTGGGTGTAAGCCCCTAAGACCAACGTTACAATTGTTGCAAACCGTATGCACACATTTTTAAGCATTTTGATAGAGCTCACAGCCTTATGCAGAAGAAAACGAATGCTTCAGTTAAAGGTGCATTTCTCAAAAGTCTGAATTAAGGGCCGTCCGGCCACGAAGGTTCCTCATTCGTTACCACAGTAGTCGTTCGCAGGTTCATAAAAGCAGAAGCTCCTCCCAAAATCTCTCCCCTCATTTTTTTTAGTAGAGCGAATTAGGAAGATGACGCATGTGGAGAGAGGAAAATCGACAATCATGGCTGCCATAGTGGTTTGCAGGAGAGCATTGTTCCGCTTTTCTAAACTTGCAACGCACGGTTTACTCCGTTTCACGTGAAGTCCTGCCTGAGCCCACGCTACGATCCGACCGATTCAACCAAACAACGCTAAAGTAGGTCGTCACGAAGCTCGTCACCTTTGTGCGTTTACTACCGCCGGCTGAACCAATCACGTGCGGGAAAAAAAAGCGCAGGATCTAAAGATTGACTCTGCGTGATTGGTTTAGCCAAATCACGCACAAAGTCGGCGAGCTCGGTGACGAAACATTTTTGGCGCTATGTGACAGGCAGACTTGGTTGCGCTCGGACTTGGGGCAAAACGGAGTAATAATAATGGTAATAATAACCATCATTTCCCTAACAAAAGTAATACCATACAGGTGAAGACATTCGAAAGGAAAAAGTTGTTAAACACAACATGACTGGTCGCGAGTTCCAAAGATACCCCCCCCCCCCCCAGCAGCAAAAAGACATCATAAACACACCGTAGATATTAAGGTATGATTAAATATAGTAATTTAAGTAATAAACGTACCTTTTCTATACCAAACGCATTTACAAAGTTTAAAAATGCAGCTCTCAAATAGAAGGCACTGTGCGAGGAAGATTATACAAGAACGCACCAACGGAATGTATCAATTAACAATTAATCATGAGGCATATGAAAAAGAAAGCAAACAGGCAACAGTAACTGTTCAAATTTACCCGATTCGGTCATTGAGAATCAATTCTCGTTACCTCCTCACTTATACCATGTGAAGTTTCATTCGTTGTTTACTGAGTTAATTATGGATAATCGGGAGAGTGTACGCCATGGCTTGCTGGCCGCCATTTATCTTAAAAAAATGCTACTTCTCGGAGTTCTGTAGCGCGTGTGTTTAATACGAATGTACTTTTACAGCTCTGTAAAAGGCCGGACCGCCAAATCCACTCGCGAGTGAACTGGATTCGATATCGTAAAATCAAAAACGAATGTGGTTTAGCGATTCCTTACAGATCGTAAACCGGGGCGAGAAAAACTGAAAAAGATAGACAGATAGGACGGCGTGGGCCCAACGAATATGAGCTGTGACGTGTCTTTGAACTTACGGCGCCCAAGCTTTTCTTGCTCGCGCCCCAATTTAAGGCTCGTCAAAATGGTAAGTAGGGAGTCCACTGCTTCATAAATCGGTCTGTCAGTACGCAATCGATGAGAACTTGCACAAGAAAACATAAAACGGCTAAACAAAAACAAAAAGATGAGAGGATCTCGTCGTCGACGCGGGAATCTGCAAGTGAATGAGGGCATGCAGCTGTCGCCCCGCACTTTCCCGAATAAGGGGTCCCCTGTCTTTCCATTTTGCTTAAAAAACATTCGAAACTTATTCCTTCTTTTCTAAACATTTTTCTTCAACTGTTCTTTTTTTCTTTTTTTGCTTGCAAGTTTGGTTGAAGTACATTTTTACGCGTGAGAGTTCCGGGTAGAGAGACCACAAAAATTGCTCTCAAACTGATATATATATATACTTATCCTTTCCTATCTATAACAAACAAAAATAGATATCATTCTCTGCGTGCTGTTATCTACGGTGGCGGCCACTATAATTACGTCAATTTTTTTTTTTTACAAATTTCATTATGAGAGGAAATGAGCCTTGTATACTCCTCTAATCCATATATCTGCCGCGTTTATTTTCTTTTAGTTCTCGAGTTGTGCCGATTCCTACCTGAGCGAGGTTCTCTTATTCTTTTAGCAAGCTTTATTTTACCTTTTAGTTGAGTTTTTTTTTATGTCGTAAATTTATGCGCATGTATAATTCTATCAGAGATAGAAGTGTTCCCGAGACACAAGCGCACATGATTCAGAATATGAGTCTCGCTCTCATCAAAATTACCTTCGGCTGTTCGCTTTCCGCGTCACATCTCATACAAACGTAATCGTATCGTGCAGCTTTGCATCTGTGCTTTGGGCACGTAATACATTCACCCACTTTAGATGCGCATATGGAAGTTTAAAATGTATTCCATGTTGTTGTTTTAATTTCCCTGGTGTATCGGCCCACGGACCGAGCAGTCTCTAAAATAAATATATCAAAATTCTCCGTGTCACCCTTCGTCCGGGCAGCGCTGCCTCGCGCTAGAATAAAAACATATTTCGCAAGCGTGGTTTTAGCCCTCGAAGAATGTTTTCATAGTCCGCGCCACTTGATTGCCCAAATGGCGAGACTTTTCAAGTACACTCCAGTCTTTTTTAAACCTCGCGCGAAATAACATTCTCCACGCCTGTCCTTCGTCTCCACGCACATAGATTAAAAAAGAAAGAAAAAGGCCTCTTTCGTTTTACACCAGCCTAAGTCGGGAGAATCTCGTAATCCCCTCCCGTAGAACAAAGCTCATCTTTAAAAAAATACGCTGAAGAAGCTTTCGCGGTAACCCGCGCATCCTTCCGTTCATCACGCGCCGACGATATCCTCCGAGTCTCGGCCTTCGGCATCGCACTTCCACCGGATCCTTGACCTTCGCTCTGCGCTCAAGCGCGCGACAAAGAAGAAATATTTCCGCCTCTTCCCAAAGAACGCTGCATACGCCTACACCTCCTACGCTTTGTCTGGCCGAGAAAACCATTCCTGTTGAATCTTCGCGCATTCCGACACCCGCCGCCAGCCCATCTAATAAAACCTCTATTAAAGACAAACAGGCCCAGCTGTTCAGCGCGGGCTCAGAGAGAGCTTTGCTGGTTGGCCGACGCGGGTGCATCAGCCGCGGCGGCGGCGGGTTTTGCATTAGCTGCATGAATATGAAAGCCGCACCGAAGGCCAAGCCTGGTCCTCCCGTCGCTCCGCTGTCCTTGGCGTTAATAAAGCGCTGCATGCTCGATTCGTCACGTCGAAGGCCGTCGGGATTAGGCCCTTCTATGGAGATGGTCTTCCCTTTTGGCTGTTGCTCTTGTTCCAGACTCCCCGGTGTTTCGGCGGTCTCCGATGCCGGAAGATAGATGCGACGGGGCATCATGTTTCAAATCTGGGCGCGCGGCCGCCGAGCTGCCTAGGCCGAGGCCATATGTCCGTGGAAAATGTCGCCGGCGGTCTGCGGTGGGGATTTTGCTTCGAAGCCGGAAGATTGCAGCAGGCCTGGAATCAATTTTTCTTTTTTTACGTAGTTTGATTAATTGGTGTCATACAGTTGTATTAGGCTTTAGTTTAGAGTTTATTCGAGTAATTCTCAATGACGCTATCTCCGCGAGCGTTTCGATTGTGACGGCGTCCGTTTAATGAAACGGTGCTGCTAAATCTTCGTAGAAATAGCTTTTCGTTCACTTTGTGGAGCAAGGTCAGTAGGGTTTGTTCACAGTGGTATATAAAACGGCGATAACTTTTATTCATTCAATATCTGCTTGATTGTATCCCAAGTCTCCTACTGACCTATTCTTGCATTCTGTAGCCAAATAAGTGTCTTATTATGTATCTAGAAACCATAAAACTTATCTTCATGCCGTATTGTGTACACGACGTGCCAATTACAGCAAGGGCAGTCTTTAGATTTGTACATAACCGAATATTTATGACAAATCAATTTGCAAACGGTCTAAAATAGAACTTCGTACCACGTGTGGTTCAAAAACGAAAGTAAAATCATTTACCTTTTATAGCGTTAATTATTTGGGGAAAAAAAGTGTACGGCGATGGACAAGTGCAATCGGGTCGATGAACATTTTTTTTTATTTATTTAAGTGTGCTAAATGCAATTCTAATCGTGCAGCCTTTATTAAACATCCATGGGTCTTTTTAAGTGCATATTTCTGATTAATGGGATTTTTTTGGTTGAATGATTATTACAAAGTTCTAGAACTCTCTACAAGATACTTGTGAAGCTTTTGCACTGTAAATATCTAGATCATTCACCATCGCATCACTTTTGAAGGGATCGTTACGCACATTCACCTGGTGAACTATCATATCTACCAGTGAACACCCGTAGCATGCCACTAAATGCCTGATGTGAAAACAAATAGGACTCTACTTCAGGTTTTTATCTAATTAGCGATTTTGAAACGCCAGTGACGTCTTTCACTTAGTTGTGCAGGAGTGTATAAGTTGGTACTGATTCATCATAAAGCAAAACTGACAAAAAACAGGGACGTATGACATATGACAAGGGAGCTCTCACTTACACACAAGTTTTCTTTTTCTTTTTCCGGGAGACTATTTGTTTTATCTTGCACGCGGAAAACGTGCCTTGCAAAGTGCATATGTGGTTTAATCGCACAGAATATTGTTCTCAAAAATGAATTTGATATATGAGCGTTTTGTTACAATATTTTCTCAATTCGTCCTCCGTTCATTGTCTGCGCAGGTCCGCCAACTGGTCATAGTGACACGGAGCCATCCCTTTCGTTTCTGACGGACCATGCAGCTCCACGTGGATCGCACCGCGTCCAGTGCCATCCAGCACGCCGCCTTGTTCAACAATCTCACCACTCGATACCACCCAGCACTCTCCAACTCCATCCAACCAGACGATGGCTCGAGCAGCCTGCGCTTTTCACCGTCCGAGGCCAACCAGTCTCCACCGGAAGACGTGGATCAACCTTCTTCATTCAACTATATCAACCTGGAAGTGCACTACATCCTCCTGCTTGCCATCATGGTCTCAAGCGTTGCCGTAAATGGCCTAGTGTTTGTGCTTTTCTACCAAAGACCCTCGGTTCGCATGACGTCCAACAAATTCGTCCTGAACATGGCGATTGTGCATCTACTACAGACGTTCCTCATCCTTCCCTTCGTATTCGTGTCCGCCATGTTTCAAGAGTGGATTTTTGGGGACATCTGGTGTAAAATTCACGGCGCTGTCTCCGTGTGCCTCACCATGGCCAATGTCTTCTCCATTCTCCTTATCGCCGTTGATCGTAACTGCGCTGTCAACAGTCCACTCCACTACTCCATGACGATCACCAAAAAAAGGACCAGCGGTCTCATCTTATCTATGTGGTTTTTCGCTGTCCTCTTATCCATTCCACCCCTGATCGGGGTGTCGGACATCAAGTACCAAGAAACCTGGTCTATGTGTACTGTGACCTGGTACGAGACGGACCTTCTCACCATTGCGTACTCCTGCGTGCTGTGCGTCGTCGGGTTCTTGCTGCCTTTTGTGAGGATTGCGTGGATCTACACGTCTATGTTCAGAGCAGCGCGACGGAACAGTGCCCGCGCCAGACTTCACAACATCAACACCAGCAGCGCGGAAATGAGTCCTCCTCCTTCAGCCGGACCTGACGGTCATCCTTCATTGTACCTTCATCGAAGGATGGCCTGGTCTAAACGCACGTCTTCGCTTAGTCAGGCGTCCTCCTTTTTCGGAGATGAGTGGAAAGCGGTGCGGACTGGACTTCTCGTTGTAATCTCCTTCACGGCTTGTTTCTTGCCTTTCTTCTCGATGATTCTCATCGAACCTCACAAAAAAACACGCAAAACTGCGCTGAAAAAACTTCCCGCTATCGCCATGTTATTTCTTTTCTGTTCTTCTCTCATCAGCCCTTACCTTTACGTGATTAGAAACAAGGCGACCCGCAAACATGTCCGCAAGATGTTTACCTGCCTACGTCGAAAACCAAGTTTTTTCTCCCAGAGAGGTTACCACCACAGTAACCAGAGCCCGCATCAAGAGCGCAAGTGCTCGGCCGAGAACATGATAGTTCCTGGGAGCACCGCTTCAATTCGTTCAGCAGCAAGCGTAGACTTTGAGAGGCCTCTCGTGACTCACTCGCTCTATCAAAATAAGTCGGGAGATTGGAAGATTGTCAGCGTCACAAGCGACCCAAGACGCTCATTGCCCTCTCATAGCTCCAATGTCGGAAGCATCCTCCTGCAGCAGCCGCTACGCGTGGACGATGCTATGCAGCAACCGTACTATCAACATAAATGTGGGCCGGGTCTCCGTGGAGCAGCACTCCGGAACGGATTCTATCGGCGAGCGTCGTTAGATAGTTCAAAAATGTTTACTACTCGTTTTCCTAGTGCCATAGAACGCGATCCCGACATGCATTCTGTTCGGGCCACCAGTGCAGGTGACAGAAGCATGTCATTCCGCGTCCGAGGCCGCTTCGCCAACAGAGAGGAGTCAACAGAGACGTGCAACACGTCCTGCAGCAGCAGCTACGGCCAGGATGAATGGGGTCGCCACTTTCTAGACCAGTCTCAGCGTCGCAACAGCGCTGCCAGACGCGAGTCCCACGGCAGTGCGTCCGCCATGGTCGTCAACGAAACGCATCCGCTGCCAGGGATCGCCCAAGTCCACCACTACAGTGGAATCAACGCCCCAGTGGCTACTACTAACTACTGCTGCCGGCCTGTACTCAAACGCGGCAGGTCGTTCGCCTTTGACGAGCAAGAACTAAGCATTGCCTACCCTCCCCAAAGGATATCGCAGTCCGGTGGGCTACGCAAGTCCTACTTCGCAGGGACAAAAAACTCGCCAAAGCATGGTTCCAGCGAGACGACCACCACAACGCTGGAGTCCTCCACATCCACAGAATCTCAAGACGTGCCGACAATGATGTCCCCGCATGCAACATCGCCACCCTCATCATACCACTACCCTCAGCACTTCCTTCATCACCACCAGACCCACGCGTCCGTACATCCCAGCACCATTACTCCTCTGCACCCTCACACATTTGTGCCACATGAGTGCCAGGAACGAAGGGACTCTGGCTTCGAAGACACTATGCTGGGGAAATGTGATATTTGTTATACAATCGTCGACGAATCGGGTTCCATCAAAGCTGTCAAATTTATAGAACAATGATGAAAGCTCATAAGTAGAAAAGTACTATGAATTATAAAAAATATGCAGGGGGCTAAACGACAACCCTTTTTTTTTACGCAGCACAATATGGGATAAAGTTTTGAGATAGCTTGCAGTTTGACCTGGGTGCACTGCTGCGCAAAACGGTTCAATACTCTGAAATAGTCTGAAGCACAAGACGCATATTTTTATTTTCTACTCCTCGCCATTTTATGAAGTGTCTAGGGAAAACATGGTGATATCATCTTGCCAAATGTAACTCTTTCTACGGTATATAAGAGCAGCTATATTTTTAATGAATAACTAAACGAGGCTCTTGATTCTATAGACGCTGAACAAGAGAAAGCTATTTATAGTGAAGGGTTGCTACGTGATTTTACATGTCTATATTGCGGGCACATGAAACTAATCATTGACGGCTGCAGCGATTCACAAGATATTTCCATCAGGGTGCAAAAGGCCATTAAACGAAGATGATGATGGACAATGAACACCAATCCGTGATGCGTGACAGTCATTCGCGTTGTGCGCAGCATGAACGGTGCCTCAAATTGAATTAACATTGTATGGTGTTTGTGTGTGTTTTTTTTATGACGTGTGTTTCCATTACTTTCTTGTTGAATGTGTTTATGAGGATTTTACTTCTTATATTGCAATTATTTAACACAATAAAGATAAACCACGTTAAAGGTTAGCCTAATTTGGTCACTTCGAACTGTTGCAAATGATCTGATTTTATCACCTCTCAACTTTTAAGACCTGAATTCAAAGCTTTTGTTTATCGTGGAGCAAAGAACAGTCAACTAAAAACTATGTAGCTAAGCGTATAAAGCGTTGTAGCATTTCGCTTGTCTGTAATTTATATAGTGCCTTTTTAATTAAATAATTTAAGCGGAAATATTATTAATAAGCTAGTGCTAAAGTGTATTCCACAAGGTGCTGTTATTATCCGAGTTGACTGATTTATCGCAAAGGTTATGTTCGTGCACATCCAGTTTTCTACAAGCACATCGTCGTTCAAATATTTGTCGTGTGTTGCATTCCAAGGTGTGTACGTGCCCTCCTATGAATTGTTTTTGTAGATGCAGATATTTTTCTGTCTACTAGTTAAGTTTAAATGTTGTTAGGTGTTGTTCGCTGCGTCGTTTCGGAAGTGCTACTTGCTTATATGTTTGAGTCTAACAAAGCCATTGTGGCAGTGAGAGAAGGAGGGGGAAACCTATGTACAGCTTTGTGCACGCCCAAGCACAATGGGATCGTTGGTGTTTCTTGGATATTTTTGCTGATTGAGATGGGTATATATATATCCATAATTAGGCTCCTGGCTACAGTTTACTATCCTAATCTGCATGGTTTGGACACGTTATTCGTTATTTTGATATGGTCGTGCATATTCTATAAAAGGGGCCTATATGTAGGCTTCTTAACAAGATCTTGATATGTAGACACTCTAGGCTAGGCATTTTGTCGCTCCGAAGCAACAACTCATTGTTTAAACGTGAAATGTACGAGATGATATATATATATATATATAGGCCGTGCTGGCAACAAATATGCGAGATATGAAATCAACGCTCTTTTTTGTGCTCCATCGTGTCTCGATCTAAACTAATCGCATTTATAATACTCGCATTTTTGTAAACCATATATCTAGTCCTGCCATATGAATGATACAATTGCCCGAAAATTCACACCGAAGGGGCCAAATTTGCCAGTCACTGCCGAACTGTTATTGAGCTTTAATGTTTTACTTTTGTTACTCTCAAATGAAAGCACTTCTGTGAAGACGATCAAAGAGGTTTCCTTGTTCTCATCAAATTTAAGGAGCAAGTATGAACTCAATATACTTTGCATAGAAAAAGTATATAATTATATTGCATACACCAACCATAAGAAGAGCTACAATATCTAGCCCATCCATTTTTGATAACACCAGCTGACGACACCTCCGAAACGCCTAAATCAAAAGGCAGCACATTATGCAATTGTATTATCTAAAACAAGCTTCATTATTTTTTTTTACTTTTTTAACATAGTACAATTTGAGAAAAAATTTCTTGTTTGAAAAAAACAATGCTCGAAACGGCAAATTGTTAAAAAAAATTTAAGCATTTCAATATGATTGAAACCCACCTGTGAATCGTTTTTCTCAGAGAAATCATATAATTCAACTTGTTAAATGCCTTAATAAGAAGTTAGTTACGTTGGCCTATTTTTGCCTACGTTTGTTATTCTGCTTAACAAAACTGTCGGTGATTTATCAATTTTGTATCTACCTCTCCTAGCTCTCTTCAAACAAGGTCAATGATTCCTGTCCAAGTGTTGATTAATATAGTTTTACCATTTTTATTTAATGCGTTGATAAAAGAGCTTCCTACCAAAAGCGTAAGTTTGTAACAAAGTTGTCTTGATGGCATAGTCATACATTATTGAGAAGTTTGAGACAAAGCTTTCCCAATTATGAACCGAAGTTGCCATGGGATGGAACCATATATGAAACGATGTGACTCAATCATGTTCTTGCGAAGTGAAAGATATATGCTCTATTCAATTCTGAAGAGACAATAAATTATTTGTTTTCAAACTTTTTCCTCTTGTCTTTCTCCATCCCCTTTCTTTCTATCTCTCTCTCTCTTTCTATTTCTCTCTCTCTCTTACTTTCTGTCTGTCTCTCCCGGTCATTTACTTAGTCTCTTTACTTGCTACACCACATTATATTTAATCCGCAATAACTATACTTGTTCAAATCTTAGCAACTGATAACACCCATAAACGTGGAATCCAAAAGCCTAGCTTCAGGATTAAGAATAGTTATCAAAACTTGCATTCTGCTTCACAGATAGCGCCTATATATAGCAAAATTTAACTCCTGGATTGTTCTGGATCAATAATGCCGAATATGATTCATGAAAATAAAAGAACGTCTAAGAGTGTGTCGGCCGGCTGGTTCGTTTTATTTGCTTATCGCGAAAGAAGCCCTCACTTACCATTTTATTGGTGAGCATCACTTATATGGTGCAATACTGCAGTAAACGTAGTGAAGCACACAAAAACGTATTGAAGAGATTTAGTGGCAATCTATGGAGCAATTTTGTGTCCTGAAAAGAAATCGTTTATTATCAATAGAGAATTTTTGGTACTCATTCAGACTACAACCAGAATTATCACATTTTGGAACTTAATCAAGAAACTCGTGGTGCTGTGGTTCCATGTGAGTTCGCCGCTCTTCTGAGAACGAACACACACTTGGGGAGTTAGGCAAACAAGCAGTTGAACTAGGACATATTTGAACAAAAAAAAAGAATAATTTTTTTTACTATTTTTATTTTTTAACTTACGTAACACTCCAGAGAAACTTCCTTGGTACAAGCTTGGAAGTCCTACGGGCCTAACTTGAGTCTAATACGGTTTTGCTCCAAGGCGTAAGTTAGTACCTGAGTACTTTTTTCCTCTAGCTTTTTTTCTGGCTGAACGCATGATTGCCAAAGTGCCAGACGTGAGCCACAGATGCCACGTGTTAATCAAAGAAGCAGGAGTGAAGGCTATTTCTGGCACTTGTTTGGTGATTGAGGCCCAAACATTTCAGATGATAGCCAGACTATCAGCAATGAAACCTAACTTTGGCACATGTTTGGCGAATCGGGGCCAAGATATTTAGACTGTGGCCAGCGAAGGTTAAGTTTCGCTCGACCTCGACATCTTCGTGCTTTTTAAAGGCCCAAATTTTCAGACAAGATTTCCTCGAGCACCTAAGCAGTTCTTATGAGTTGTGAATGCGAAAGAATGAATGTCGGTCTTCCGCTCGTTTAAGTAGTCTGCGGTGTACTGGCGTGAATGGACACGTTTCGCTAATGCCGAGGTGGCGGCCGACGGCCAAAAGCGTGCTTTTGTGAACGGGCCGCGCAGCGCATAGCTCGGCCGTGCATAGACTCCGGAGTCTGCCCGTGCGGGCTCTGCTGGCTCGGCGGCCAATCCCCTGCGGGCGATGCCCATGCGGGCTCTGAGGCCTTCCTCTTACCGGTGGCCGGGCCGCTGCGCCACCATGGAGAGGGCTTCTCTGGTGGCGTTCCCTTGGAAATACGCCACGCGAGAGCCAAAGGGAGCCTCGTTCCTGGAAACTATGACGCGCGCCAGCCAATGGAAGCCTATCTATCAGATCGCTGCTACAGACGACAGGCCTCGCTTCATTGGGACAGGCGAGTTTAGGTGCCATTTGGCGTGACTTCAAAAGCTGATAACGCCGGCTCGCTCCATGGGACATTTAATGTTCTCGCATTAAAACCAAATTTTGACCCAAGCAACTACGCTACCTGGGACCTTATGGGAAGCTGGACAGAAATCTAAGAGGGTGTGCAAATGCCCGCCTCGTCAAACTTCACAATCGGTCTTTACCTCCTTCATGCGTACAATTGCGAGAGTTATAATATCCTCTTTCATTTTTCGCATCGCGGATTGTGCTTGCTACAACCATTCGTGCATTGTGAGGTTTATCAACACCAATACAAAACCCCAGATTCCCATATATGCAGACTCGGGAAGTAATCCGTTACTTTCTCAAGTAACTTTGTAATTGCCACGTTTCTTCTTTCGGAAGTAATTTGTAATGTAATTTCGTTACAAAATATTGGTAACGGATTACTTTAATTACTCGTTACTTCATTTTAAATATGAGTACAATACAGTAACTGGAGCGATACGAGCAGAACATTCAGCAGCATCACGAGAGAAAGTCCAACAAAATAGAAAAAAAAAAACACCAGGTAGGGGAGAATAGCCCAAAAGGAAATATAATTTTTTGTATGACCGGTCACTAGAACCACTAGAAACAGGGGCAAGACATGTACAAATAGGGTAAGACAGCGCCGAGTAGGCTCTCCGTCGCCTTCCATCGTGATTTTCTTCTCCCGGGCTGAAAAACGCTCTTAGTGCTGTTGTTGTTGGGTTTTTTTTGTTTGTTTTTTTTGTTTTTTATACCGTTTCACTCTTTGCAACTTCTTTGACGTTAATGACCGAGCACGTGAACACGCGCTTACGCTGCGATCAACCTCGGGCGGTCACTTGCCTTTACACTGCAGCACTTGCTCGTGCGAGCCGATATTTGATCGCATCTCGATTTTGGGAAGAGGGGCCGATAAGACAGCACGCGAGCTGCTCGAAGCATTTGAGATAGGAAAGGAAGGTGCCCAATGCGTCAGCCAAACATCGATTTTTTTACTTAAGAGAGAGGTAGCTTTTCTGAGCACGTTTTGATGGGGTGATGATTTGGTGGTTTGTTTGTTTTCCTCGTTAGTTTCTTTTTCAATAAACGTTCAGTTGAAGTCCAGCGCTTGTCCTGTCAATTTCTCTTCCTTGTGTCTTCGTAGTTTGCGCGCTGATTCCATTTTGTAACGATGAACCAACTCGCCTGCATTGCCACTTTGATTCTTTGACGTGTCCCGCCACATACACGGACATCAAACACGAGTCCCTACCCCCTCGATTCGCGGGTTCACAACTCGCGTAACAGACGATGTAGCCTCGCGCGAGGGTGTCGAATTCTCTTTGTCTGTGATGTGTGCTACTTTATTCAAGAACGGTCTTGAGGCACGGCTGAAAAGCGCCTGGCGCGAGGCTAAGAGCATTGTCATCGAGGTTACGGACGATAATTCTGTTGGTTTATTTGTCTGGGCATGGTTTTCGAGTCCACTCTTTACTTTACAGTCCACTGTCAACATAAAAGGGGGGAAAGGGGAGGCCATCTAAGGAGTGCTGACAGAGAGAGAGAACGCGTAAGAGTGGTGTGATCCCCTATTGTTTTGTGAGACCGATGGCCACAGCTTCTCTGGCCCTCTATGCCCTCCCCTCCCCTGGCCTCCCCAAATATAGCTATGAAAGTGAGAACCGGTAACCCGTAACCGCCACATGTTCTCTGACTGGTCGAGTTTTCAGTCATGGAGTGTCCGTCGACTCCATGGCCATCTCTTAATGAGATGTTCAAAACTCAGGGCGTTAAGGAGAACGGAAACCCAGAGCTTCAGTGCATACTTTGCTTTCCAAAAAACCACACATTGTCATCAGCAACAAGAACAAACTCTAATCTACGGAAACACATCAAGGTAGGCTGGGATACCTGAATTCTGCACTGACTTTACTTTGTAACGTTGGAACCAAGCTTTGCTTTTCCTGTCAATAACAGGCGAAACACCCGACACAAAAGGAAGTTTTCGTAGGTCGGTTCTTTAGCTCGAAATCTCGTAGCGGAGGTAGACGCTGCAATTGAGCATGCGCACCGCTAGCTTTGTCTGCACAATTCCAGGGATCATTTCCGCAGGCCGTAAGCTAGCCGGATAGCGGGTGTGATTGCAGCTTTCGGTGCCTTGTCAGCTTACAGGTAAACGGAGTCCGCCTGTAAGCTGACAAGGAACCGAAAGCACTTTCTCTTAAATAAAATATTTCATTTTTACAAGGACTACCATAATACGGGCGTATGAGAAATGCAAAGTAGTGTTGCCGACCAAAAAATATATATTGAAAAATATATTTAAAAAAATGTTATATTGGTTTCTGAATAAGTGTACGGAAAAAGTAACGTGAAAGTAATTTCTAACGTAACGAGTAAAGAAATCCGTTACTTTTCAGAGAAAGCAATTTGTAATGGTAATCCATTACATTTGAGGCTCGGCAGTTTGTAATTGTAATTCATTACATTTTTCAAGTAACCAGCACAAGCCTGCATATATGTGCTAACCCAAAGCTATAGAAAGGTTCACTAACTTGATATATCTTCTTCGTCAGACGCTACGACAAGCTCTAACACTCTAAGACAAACGACACTGCAGAAATTTTTAATGTCGAGATTCAGAACGTTTTCCGAATCTACAACCAATTATTTTAAGCATATCTGTCCTGCACAAACTATTTTTTTGTATTTATTTCTTATATCCACGTTGCTTTGACTTGACTCGCCGTTTGCTCGTGCATAGTTGTGCGCTTCTGAATTACAGTTTTGTTTGCTAACGTCTGTATTTACAGCACACGCGGTTATTTGATTGTTCACTTGCAGTCTCCCTTAGTACACTTTCAACATGCTAAAGAAACTTACCTGCCTTGAAATATAAATGGCCATTGAATCACGCAGGAATTGCATTATAGCTCTTTAGGCCTGAAGCTGTTACAGTTTTTCAAGTTTTCGTCGGTGTTCTCTCGCGCACAGAAGAAAACTTTGTTTTATATAGGTGATCGATGTGCTGAAAGCTCGGAAATACATTTGTTTTGATTTTCATCTGTTTATTATGGCAATATTACTCTACGCTGTAGCTCCAGCCACTCTCCCTGTTATTTAAAAGTTAGTTGATCAATATTAGAAGGATCGTATGCTTTTTTTTTGTGCAAAGTGTGCCAGGCACCAGCGATAAATAAGGGGAGGTTTTAAACCTTTGCGGAGAGTCAGTTAGCACTTTCAATTTTCACAAGCATATACTTTTGATTTTTACAGTAAACCAAACGGAAAGTTTATTTCTGGACGAGTCTTTGCATGATAATGTTAAAACGTAGATTCCCATAAAAAAAAAAAAAACAACTACAAACGCTTTTTCGCATATCTTTGTGT